GTGAGTACCACTCTCCTCCTCACATCACAGCAGAGTCTGAAGAGGTCATTGAAAGCAAAGCTGGGGGATAATTTGCCTTGCAGCCAGGTTTGTCTGTCTGGATGGTCTCCATCACAGGAACCATGCTAGGTGGATTGCTCCATGCTCCTGCCTGGCAGCACCAGGCCTCGCTAGTTGGGGTGGATTAGCAGCTCCTGGCAAGAGCTGTGAGAAACTTCTACACATTCGTGTGACCTGTGGAAGACATGGGAGCTGAGGAGACACAGGCCACAATCATCTTCCCAGTGCTAGTAACAAATAGTTGCCTGGGTGCCTTCAGGATGTTGGTGAGGCTGGGGAAAAAGGAGGAAAGCAGTGATTCAGTCTGAGGTAAGGATGACGCTAAAGCTCAGGTGAGAGAGAGAAAACTGGAATAAAACCCTCTCTGCTTGTTTCAAAGTATGACTGATCACTCATGAGCCTTTTTGCTCTGGTGGCAAAGAGTATGCTGTAGGAGCAGGAAGATCTGAGGTTCATGAAATGATGTGCTCTGGTGTGCAGCACAGCAACAACCATAAAGTCCTTGGAGAGGCCATGGCTAACTGTTATTCCTACTAACGTGCAAACCACCTGTGCAACTGTAGCGTCCCAGCAATGAAATAAAACACGAGGACAAGCAATGCTGCACACCTTGCAGCATAGTCAGACGTTGCCTCACCATGTCGATGAGCTACCCAGACCTGTGCAGCACGACTTCCCACCAGCAGGCACCCTGCCTGACTGCCTGCAAACCCAAGCAGTGCCTGCTGCATGGCTGCAGCTGGTTTTCGCCGGAGTCGTGTACTGCCATTCACTGTGGAGATAAGTGCCTTCCCCTCCACCTGTTCATCCCTCTGTTGAGCATGTCTGCCTCATTAGCTCATCCTCTGCTTGTCTCTCTTTCTGTCTGGCTTCCTTGGCTTCTCTCTTTGATTATCCATATGCTGTTCTCGTAAGGAGCTTTCCCCAAGATTTAGTTCTCGGGCCTGCTGCACAACAAAAAGGCATAACAAAGAGTCACAACATTACATCCTGTAGAGTGCTTATCAAGATTTACCTTGCCGTTCACAACCTGTTTTCATGGCAGCCAGTCCAATGGTTAAATAAAACCTGTGATTCAAATGGAAGAAGGCGCCAGAGCAGTAGGGCACACCTGCCAGTACTGCCCACTTGCATTCCCTATTTCCTATTTCTGAAATACTCTCCCATTTTCTCTTGAGTCAGAAGTGGAGCTGACCCACTCAAAATTTTAACTCGAAGTCCCCTAAAAATTTGACTTAAAAAATAACTCCCAGGCAAATTAAAACAAACAAAAAGCCCAAACCAAGGGCAGCCTGCTTATGATACTGGACCTGACAGAAGAGGCAGTTCAAGTGGATCAGCAAAAGAGTAATTCTTGCAAACGTGAGCAACCGCGGTCCTCAGCAAGCTGAAGGAAGGCAAGCGAGGGGTCCGATTTTGCGGGGGCAGGCTGCAGGAGCCTGCGGGAGAGCACAGGGGGAAGCCTGACAAAGGCAGTGGGCTGGATTCAGGTGCTTACCCAGGGCTCGTCCCTTCTCCTCCTCGTGCCTTTCTCTCCGCGTTTACTGTCATCAGCCATACCAGGCAGGGGAGAGATGGAGGGAGGGGAGGAGGCGTTCGGCTCGGTGCCTCCTCTCATAACCTGTGCCTGACCAATCTGCCTCCCGAGGGGCTGCGGGGAGCTTCCCCCGCCCTGGCATCTCCTCACCCCTCCTTGAGTCCCTCAGCTCCCGGCACCCGGAGAGGGATGACGGCAAGGCGGGGAGGAGGGAGAGAGAGGGACTGACAGCGACTGCCCTTTCTCCAGGATGGGTTGAGAGAAATGAAAACCTCCTGAGCTCCTTCCTCTGGGTGTTTCGGAGCAGATCCTGCCTGCCTGGCGGGGCGACTCCTCTGCACTGTGTGTGCGCGCTCCTGTGCGTGCGCTGCTGCCATCGCAGATGTACCCCCAGCTGTCACTTCGCCGCACGCACTCGCTCCCTCTCCCGCCTCTCTCTCGCTTTCCCTCTCCCCCTATTTATTATTTACGGAGGATTACAGTCCCTTTCCCACGCTGCCATCTCGCCGTGCGGCTCCTCTGCTTTCCGTGCGGGGCGAGCGGCTGGCTAGGAGGGGCTCCTACCACCTAGGGTCTACCGAGAGCCCAGCCAGCAACGGAGGGACTTTCTGCCGGATTTGCTTTGGGATTGTACCGGGTTCGCTGGAAGAGCTGCCGTTCTCACAGGAGGGTCCATCCCAGCCCGAGAGAGGTAAGTAAAGACATCTCTCTTTTGTATTCCCCCTGCTCCCTCCCTGGTTATGAGAAATCAGCAGAGCTGCCCCCCAGGAACTGGCTTCCCTGGGGAGGAGGGTGTGGGTCAGGGGCAGCATCGTCTGCCAGGCGGCACAGTGCAGAAGTCCCGGTTGTACGAGGCTGACGGGCAGCGATCCTCCCGATAAGGCAAAACGACAGCCCTGCCGCAGAGGCTGCTGGTACTGGTTCCAGTCCAGTTTTGGTGTGGGCAGCTGGGAGCAACTTCTCCCAGCTGTGAATTGCACCAGCATCTCTTGTTGCAGCACAGGCAGCTCAGGTTTTCTGAGGTTAAGCGCTTGGTGCTGTGGTCACCGGTGACCCCAGGCTTTTGTTCCCTCCTCGGGGCTGCGAGAGGGGCCAGCGTGTGAGGTGCCACCCACCTGACTCGTGGTGGCTTTGCTGGACATAATTTTGGTCTCAGCTCAGGTTGGTCTTAGTAAGAACAACCTAAAATGGAGAACTGAGACCAAAATTGAACAGGTCCAGCACTCAATACACAGCTTTAGAATGAGGGGGGTGTACATGTGTAAGTGTGTGTGTGTGTCTATGTACAATTTCACACACAAAGCTCATGCACATGATCACAGGACATGAAGTGAAGGATGCCATATCACAAGTAGAGTCAAAAAAAAGTCCCAAGTTGCTTCCAGCATCCCTGCAGGCTGAGACTGCGATTTCTGAACTTTTGGGCAGAAGGCACAGCACCAAGGGTGGGGGTGAAACACAGCACAGAGAAACTTCACAGCCTTTTCCAGTCCTGCCTGGGAGGAAAGGGGGAGAATGAGGTCTCAGATGAGCTGATGTGAAGTCTCCTATGGATAGGGGTATATATGTAAGCGTTAGCACGTGTGTATGTGTGTGTGCATATATACACGTGTGCATATATACACATGCACAGACATGTGCACACGTACATCCCACACAGGGCATTCTGCCCCCGCTTCTCCCTCTGCCTGCCCCATTTATTACTGCCACTGCATCTCATGCTAATTATGAAAGACATATAAAATCAGAGCTTTCCTGGTTTGGGGAGAGAGGATGTTTGAAGCTGTTGCTCCAACCAGGTCATGACCGCGCCAGACCTCAGGCCTGCCATGTGGACTGTCAGGTAGCCTGAGTGTGCCATGTATGATGGCAACGGTAGTGAGAAGGGTACAGCACTGCTCTGCTGCCGGTGCCTGCTCTGCCACCCAAGGATGGAGGGAGAAATGAAGATGTCATTTGGGGAAGGGCTGGAGGAGCTGCTATTGCAGGGTTTAAAGAAGGAAACCCTTAAAAGACAGGGGGACCCTTAAAGGCACACAGGGACTTGTCACAAAGCAGGGGACATTTCTAGCAGTGAGGAGGAGGGGGTGCCTTTCCAGAATTGCAGATCATTTTTCCTCTGAGCTTTGTCATTCGGGTCTGTTGGGGGGCAGGGGGTGGATCTTCCTCTAACTGCTGTGGGCAAACAACATTTGCAAGGGAATTATTCCACATGAGCGAAAGGCTTGCGGGAGTTGTCTCCCCATCAGACATCAGTGCAGTCTCTGGTAGTGTATCTTGCCCACTTGGAGGAATTATGGTAAATCCTGAGCAAAGGGGCTGCTTGCAAAGAGAAAGGGGGGGAAGCCCTTTTATGTAATTTTTATACCAGATCATAGCTTTACCCTTGCCTCCAGCAAAGTGAATGCCACATGCTAGCAAGGTGCACTTCTAGCTCGGCTCTCTTCACGAGCTACTCCAGCTTCCTGCCCTTCCTTCTGGCTTTTCTAAGCCTGATGCAGAAAGGATTTTCTAGGCTCTTCAGCACCACAGAAGCCTGATGAAGGCAGACCTGCGTCTCAGTGCAGCAGGGAGGGCCAGCAGCAGCATGGGGCCATGAGGATACCTGGTCAAGAGCATCCAGGGAGCAGCAGAGGCTGAAACAGGATTGGGACAGGCTCAAGCCTGTGGGAGGGCATTTCTGGGCAGTTCTTCAGTGATTCTTCAGCACTTGCCTGTTGCTGAACCAAAAGGGAGATGAAGAAGTTTCCTTCACTTACCATGTTTGGTTATAAGCAGCTGCTTATACCACTTGACATCTGTCCCAGCCCTGGGTGGCTCAAGCCATAATTCAAATGGGATGCTCCTGACAGCTGGGTAATGTTCCAGAGTGCTACACTATGACACACACTCCAGTTCCCAGTGGGAAGGAGCTGGACTTGGAGTCCTGGGCTGTTTCTGTCCCTACTGCATGGAAACACCTTGTAACACATACCTTATTCCTGCATTTACCAAAATGCTGGCTTACAAAAATGCTTTGTCTGACTGAGGGTATCCTAATAGCAAGGAGTAGTATTTTCTATAAATCAGTTCAGTTCCAGGCTGAAGAGATGGAAGGAAAAGTTGCTTCGCCTGTGAAGGCTAGGATTATATGAAATATGGTTTTATTCACACTGCAAAACCAGGCAGTTGGAAGTGAAGAAATGTTGGGATTTGGGGCAGCGTGCCATCTGCACCCAGTTGCAGTCCTGACTGGTAGGTTCACATGCTGTATTTTCATAAGCTGCCTCATTCAGGGCACCGGCTACACGGTGTTCAGGGAGCAAAGCAGGGGGCTGTTGGGTTTTTTTCTTTTTGGTACTGCAAAGTGTGTGCCTGTTTTATTTGTTTACTGCCTGCCATCCAAGCCCTGCAGGCAATACATCATTATTCATTGTCTTGTGGTGTTCTGAAGATGTTCGCTGCTACAGTTGCCTCATAGCTGATGATAGAGAATTTATGCTCCTGATGAGGCAAGGGAGAGTGGTTATTTTCCTTGCTTTTGAAGGGAAGAGAGACTTCCCCTTTAGCCACACAGGGAAGGACCAGCAGGTGCAGGACCGGAGCTTGGGGCCTCTTGGTTCTCAGTGCCATTGAGTCCTGGAGACGGTACCAGTTTGCTGGCTAAGCTGCCAGCATTTTGGAAAACAGCTGTCAGTGCTCAGCAGTTCTGCAAAATGGCCCCTAGGGTCTCATGTTGGGCACCCGCAAAATTAGGAATGTACAGACTGTGGCCACCTGCCAAAACTGCAGTTTAATATTTAATCCTGACCATATAAAAATAGCCTTATTTATTACAACATCCTCTTTGTTAGCTTGAGTATCAAGTGTCCTTTGCACTGAGTATGGGACAGGGTCCTGTGAAAAAAAGAAATAGTACTTGCTCGGGTAAGCAAAGGCTGTATTGTAATGCGTACATGCAAGTGGCTGAATTATGGTTCTGCAGGTATTAACTCACATTTAAGTGCTTGGCTTTGCAAGCCAAATGGCACATTTTATCACATGACATTTAAAAAAAAAAAAAAAGAAAATGACACTTTGATGCTTTTTTTTTTATGAATGGGAAAACAAGAGACTTTCCATTATTTATACACTGCAACGCCTCACACCCATCACAGGAAGGACTGAGACCTAAATTCACAGCAGGGCCATACAAGTCTGAACTTCATGACTGACTGCAAGCAAAGGCTGTTACTTGAAGACAGGCCCTGCTACTACGCGTCTTCTCAACCAAGGAGGCTGGGAAGCTCGGAAGCTTCCTTCCCCATGGACCATGCCCTCACATGATGAATAAAAAAGTAGGACCACATCCTGAGTTTGGAGAGGAGCTGTTAGAGGCAACTTGACTTAGCAGTCATCACTTGGGCTCTCTTTCCACTCCTGGTAAGGCTCTCTGCTGCCAGTGCTCCCCAAAGCAGGGTGTGCTGCTGCTGCGATCTTGCTGCAAGGTACCTGTGTGGGGGCAGAGGGGCTGATGGTGGGTCCTGCTCTCCATACTACTTGCATTTAGTGATTTTGATGGGATGTGAATGTTGCCATGCCCGTATCTATTCTGTGGCTGCAAACCCTCCAGAAAGCTAAAGTCACATCAAATTTGAAGACCTTGCCCAGCCTCAGTAAGCTCTGCAGCATGGGGCTTTGATGTGTGTGCTAACCCAGATGCACCCAAGGATTCTGGCTGGAGCTTGGGGTTGTGAGAGCTGCCACCACCAACGTTCCCAGATTGTGAAGTGTAAGTGCATCCCAGAGATCCTCAGGCACCCCTGGAGAAGCAGGCAGTAGCCTGGACTCCATGCAGTTTGTGTGGACTTTGCGGGGATGCCCCTCTTGGATACCCTGGGAAGGTGATGGGGGGAAATGGGGAAGGGGAATAAGAGCTCCAGGCTCTCTCTAACACACGGCACTGCCAAGCTCGTGCCACAGTGGCAACCAAGTGAACGAGATCTATGCAACTCACTAAGGCAGAAAAAGGTCTCCTTCAGAGTTCAGTGTAAATGCATCGTGTGCGAACAATGAGAGTCAGCCTTTCTTTGGGAGGTTTGCCAGGAGCTGTGTGCGTGCTGGGTCACCGATCCCCTTATGATAAGAGCAGAGAGGATTTTTACTGCTGGCATCTTGTGCTCTGCCCCGTCACTGCACATGCACGGATGTTCTCTGCTCCTGTGAACACGCTCAGGACACAGGCTTGTGAACTGAGGTGGTACTGAAGTTCTTCCCTCATCCCACTGTGTTTTCTACCTCCTCTCCTTCCTTCTGCTCCAACTGTCAAAGTGGCAAGCCACTACCCTTGCAGGAGGTGGTCTCTTTCACAGAAGCTGGCAGCCAGGGAAGGGAAGCCAAGGTGCTGGGTGAGGAAGAGGACTCTCTCGCTCAGCAACTTAGGTGGCAGCAGTTCTCCATCACATTGGCTTCTCCACCAGAAGCAAAAAGAACAAGTCAAGCACTAGGAAGGCTAGTGAGCTGGGCGTCCTGGCGTATTTCAGAATACAGGCTATGAAAACAGGCAAAGCCAGTTCTTGGGCTAATGCAGATGATGGCAAACAAGCAGGTGTGGGACATTTTGTGTGCGCGGGATCACCCAGGCTTGCAGAAGCTCGCCTGATTCTAGGAATGAGGAAGCACAAGGAGAAAGGCTTATGGCTGAAGTGCCTTGGGCCCCATGACATATGACAG